TCAAGGACTTGAGGACCCAAGTTGGCATCATCAAGGGCCCTTCTTCCAGCAACAATGCAGTACCTCCAGCAGTCATCTAGACGGCGATCATTCTTGCCATCAATGTAGCCTTTGGAAGAAAAATCACGTATCTGACCACCAAATCGAACAGAAAAGCTTGAAGCATCAAACCTATCAATGAGGCCGATACCACTCTCTCCCTCAAGAAGTTTATTGTAGAATGCATCAATGTCAATTCCAAAAACTGACACAAGCCCCATTCCTGTTATAACAATTCGTTTTTTTGGATCTTTCTCTCTTTTGGGAGCTGAGACTGTAGGTGAAGCCATGGCCCTGATTGTCCTGCATTTTCTAGCTGAGACTTGGAAAAGGAATTAGAATTTAACCCAAATCAGGTTTAAGATTAAAGTAAAGAATTGTGAAGCTTCCATTTTTATTTGTGATTTATATTATCAACTACACTGAAATGAATGAGAAAGTAGAGTAATATAACGGTTAGTCAAAGCAGAAAGAGGGTGTGTATTCGATGGCCCAACAGACAATGAATCCGCATCGAAATACTAACATTCCCATAAAGAGAAACATTAAAGAGGCCCCGATAGCCACGACGGTAATAAAAGTGATCTACAGCTGCGTAGGCACTACCCAAAAACATAAAAATAAAAAATAAAAAATAAACAAGTTATTTTATAATTCAGATTATAAAAATTATATCTTTAGATATCGAAGGACTTAATGTTTTATGATTTAAAATAATTCAGATTGTAAAATTTTTTTTTATAAAAATAAAGAATAATTATAGAAATTATTTTTTGCAGACCCCACCAAGTGATTGATCATGGATGCTTGAATAATTTGATTAGAGCTGAAGAAGCTCTGGTCAACAATCAAGAGTGAAAAAAAAAAATGTTGAATGCAACGGAACTGAAGGATTTAAGAGAAGATAATTTGATTCTTTCTAAGTTGATACAACCAGCCAAGACTTGGAAATTTATTTCTCAAGACTTGTAGCAGACATTCAATACAGCAGTTTAACACACATACGTTGAACAAATATAACATTAATTCATTATACCAAAAAAAATTTATATAACATTAATTCACATATTTATGAATTATGAAGACGAAACAAGACAAGTAAGAAGCAATTAATAAAGTAATTTTCTAACCTGTAATGAGCATATGTTAAGCATTATTAATTAATTATAGTGTTTATAATTAAATACCTGAAATAGAAACAAACCCATTTGGCTTAGTTGCTGAAGAAGCCAAGTTGATGTTATCGACTGGTTTAAGGCCAGTGTAGTGAGGTAGAGAAGGTCCTGCATCTCTGTTTCTAAGCAGCACACCGGAAGAAACAGCACCAGAAGCAATT